AAAGAAGGTGGAGATGAAGAACAGGAGGTTGGGTTCACCATCGATATCAAAAGCTTTCTCAAACCCGGCGAAAAGAGCTATACGCAGCGCTGCCGGCTGTTCGTGGGGAATCTGCCTACTGATATCACCGAGGAAGATTTCAAGCGCCTCTTCGAGCGCTATGGAGAGCCGAGCGAGGTCTTCATCAATCGGGACCGCGGTTTCGGCTTCATTCGCCTGGTGAGGATTCGCGGAAGCCTCTGTGGCCGCCGCGCCGTAACCCAGGGGCTGCCTTTGAAGTGGGAGACTTGTGTCCTATGGGTCCCCACACCCGCCTTTCCTTGTCGAGCGGGTGTAAAAAAAGGCATTAGCAGCCCCTCATGCTCTCTTTCTTCCTGCTGCCAGCGCTGTTCCCTTAGCTTCCTCTCCCTTCTTCCCCTGTTTCCCTCCATACGTCCCCGTCAGAGGCCTGCCCGCTGGTTTCGGGGCCCCGCCGCCAGTTAGTGTTTCCGTGCCGCCGCCGCGGGTGCTCCTGCAGCCGGTTGTTCTCTCAGTGAATGAAGATGTGGTTGCGCGGTCTGCTTTGTTCGTGTAATACCTGTATAACGACCTTCCTTATTTAACTGAGAGAATTTATCGTACTTGAGGACTAGAAAAAAAATCCTTTTTTGTACAGAAGCAAATTCCAGCCTGTATACTTCATTATGAGTATAGCTTTGGTCTATGAAAGCACAGCTGAAGACTAGACAGGATTGTTTTGAAATACAGTGAAAACGGAACCCATAATATCAGAATTGCAGAGAAATGGGACCTTGGGTTGTTTAAATTGCTCGTGTCCAGATAAGACTAGATTTTTAGGGATAATACAGTGTTTGATCGAATGTGCTTAAGTGAACGTGCTAAAAAGGAATAATCTGAAAAGTTTATGATACTGTGTTTAAATGTCAATTTAATATGGAGGATTAGTTTTCCTGACTGCCATGTCTAGAATGCACTGATTTGTATCATTCTGCGAATAGCTCTATAGTGCTTTGGATGTCTCTAGTTATTATTTTTCCATATATTTTACAGGTCAGGATTTTTTTTTTTCCTTTTTGGTTGTCGTCTTAAGTGTTTGTGGCATTCTGCCATACATCTTTTACACTGAGAATCCCCCAGCCTCCAGTAGCAGTTTTCTGGAGGAAGTGTGATACATTTAGATGTCATGACTCAGTTTTGTATGTGATATAGATTGGATGCAGCTTTTGTCTGAACTTCCCTTTTCCATTATGTTTAGGGAATATGTTATTTTTTAACAATTGACCTAGTCAGTTGAATTGTGGATAAGATGCTATGGTCTAAAGAATAATTTCTTCAAATGTAAGGGATTACAGTTATTAAACATGGTGGAAGTCTCTGAAATGAGGAAAAAAAGGCAGTTATTGATGCAGAGTGTCTCATGGATGTGGATGCAGAAAGCCCATCAATGTGAGAAGAATGAATCCATGAGCAAAGTAGGTAGTTTCATCATTTGTGGATGAAATTCCATTTGGGTGTCCATTGAGAGTTTATCTATACAGTGGTAATTAGCAAGTGTGGTATTTTCACTTATTTAGAAACAAAACGGAAACTCAAACCACCCTAGATCCTTTAGTGTAATCTTTGAAAATACTGTTTCTTACTATGTGGAGCTAGGGATGCAGAATATAAGCATTTGAGTAGGTAAATGTGAAAAAGCATCAAGTTTTCAACTCTGCTGAAAGCCTATACAGAGAAGCACAGATATATAAATCATAATGAGAATTTGTTAAGTCCTCTAATGTGCAACAAAAATTTTTACCTATATCTTTTTTTTTACAGTAAATCATAGGGGATGACTTTTTTTCCAGGAAGTTTGGGGTTTTTTTCGGGGGGGGAGGGGCAGGAAGAGTTGAATGACCCTGATGGTAAAGTGCTCAAGTTAAGGAAAAAAAAATTACTACTTTTCTGTGGAGGGGGGAGGGGTGGGATGGACGACAAAAGTGATATCTATTGTCCTTGAAAATAAAATATATAAAATATTTTGTATCTTGAAAAAGGAATCTAGGACACTGGCTGAAATAGCAAAGGCCGAACTTGATGGTACTATTTTGAAGAGCAGACCACTTCGAATTCGATTTGCTACGCATGGAGCTGCCCTGACGGTCAAGAATCTTTCACCTGTTGTTTCTAATGAGCTGCTGGAACAAGCATTCTCTCAATTTGGGCCAGTGGAAAGAGCTGTTGTTGTAGTAGATGATCGTGGCAGAGCTACAGGAAAAGGTTTCGTAGAATTTGCAGCAAAACCTCCAGCACGGAAAGCTCTAGAAAGATGCAGTGATGGGGCATTCTTGCTAACAACGTAAGTTTACAGGCTTTTGTTTGAATTTGTGTGAGTATATATTTATGATGTGAAAGAAAACTGCATTAATGAGTGCTCCCTAGTTCTTATTTTCAAATTATGAAAGCCGTGAGGTGAGAATGAATACCCCCAAATACTCCCGATATTTTGTGAGGAAAACCATCTTTTCTGCTTACTGTTTGTAGGACTTGTAATTACTATATGAGAGTCTGATAGCAACATTTTGCATTTCCTTGCCTATATGCAATATTACTTTTCCTTCTCTATCTAGTAGGGCTTTTTCTAGCAAAACTTCATTTTCATTGATTGCACTTTTCCTGATCCCAGTAACAGTGTGAAAAAATATTCTTCTGTTTCTTAGCAAAACAGTGCACTACATTGCTGATATTTCTGTAAACTCAGGAAGTCTTCCTGTGTTTATCTCAAAAGTTTTATTTGTGGCTTGAAAGGCCAGCAGTTTTTGTTTGTTCTTGCTTCTTTGTTTTTTAAATGAAGACAGATTCTGCAGAAGTTTGTGGGAGTGATTCTGGAAAACTTTGAAGGACAAGCAAGCTTGCAAATTACAGCACTTCTCTTGCATCTCATTTTTGTACTTGATGGAGAGAGTTGCTAACTGCTGTGCTTTAACACATTTACTAGTGACATTTTCAAATGCTGTCTTAAAGACGGTGTGAAATGATAGATATTCATCTTTTTTTTTGTTTTCTAATTCTCATTTGGGAAAATAAGGCTGTGGTTCCACAGCGTGGAAGCTTGCTGCCGTGAAATTGGAGAACTTAGAGTTCTTTTTCTCTTCCTGCTGTGGCTGTGCTGTTGATCTTTTATTTGCTTGGGAGCTTTCTGATAGTTCCATAAGCCACTTGTGCTTGCTAAAAAACCAGAAAAGTATTCAGCTGTTTTTGTTGGGTTCGTTTTTGGCTGTTTAAGCACATGAAGGTGCTTGCTAACAGGGGTAATATGAACGTCAGGTCCAGTAGAGGATAAGGCAGGAGAAGATGTTGCCAGGAGGAGACTGCAGGTGGGGAAAGGATCTGTAACTCCTCTTTCTTGTGATAATGTCATAAATCTTGTGTGCCACTCACTGGTGGCTATGTAGTAAATTCAATCTGAGTATGTCTCTACTGTTATCAGTAGGTGCCAGCATTTTGTTCTTACCCCCTGGGTTTTCTTGGCAGGATGGTGAGCCAAGCCAGGGAAATAATCTAGTTCAGTGTTACATTAATGCTATTCTTGGCATGAGAGATGTGGTAGGGAATAAGAAGCTAGGATATGAGGGATGGTATTCTTGTTTTACCAGCTGGAGACGTTTGTTGGATTGAAATGACTGTCTAACCATGGCATGAGTGAATAAAAAGCACTTGATCTTTATCTTGCTCGTGTGGCTGACATGTTCCCTAATGGGCAGTTGCAAAGATAACTAGCATGAGTCTGCTGCCGTGATACTTTGATGTTTTGCTTCAGAATCTAAAATTTTACACTTTTATCAGAAAACTCTTAGCCTGATAGAAGAAAATATTTAAATTCATGGGCTAAATATGTCAAAACTATGCATTTGAATTTAGAGATTGAAAATAGTTTTAAATCATAACTTGTTAACTTGTTCAGTTGTATTTAAATAACTGTCAGCAAGTGCCATGCAGATAACATCAGGAGAAACAGTTGCTGAGTTGTGCACTGTGATTCTAGACTTCTAGACTCGATGCTCAAAGTTTTTTCAGCTGTTGATGTTGTTAAAGTATATTGTTTTTTTTTCTGTGAAGAAATCTGCAAAGTGAAATAAAGATGTGGAACACAATAAATAATAAGCACTGGCATTTTGAAAATAGTGCCTCTAGCTCTTATTGCTGTAAGGTGTGTATTATGGGCAGTGCCCCCAAGACTGATTTAAGAGAGGTTTTTACACAATTCAGGATCACTATACTGCCACCCTTGGCGGTACTGGCTGATACTTGCCTCTGATTAGCACAGATAATGAGAATTCAAGGAAGGTATTTTTCAAATATAAATTAGGATTCTGATTTGTGAGGGTATGGTTGTTCAAATAATGTGTTTTAAATAACGCAAGCAGGCACATTTTTCTAATTATCACTGGAATCTTAATGCCAAATTATCAAGCTGTTTTCAATTGTAACTTTCAAAATTAACTCTAAATATTCTGTGGAAGTATGAGTAGGTTGCTCTGGTTTGGGTTTGTTTGGTGCTTTCCCATTGTAATCATGGCCCCTGTGTTGCCTCACTGATTAAAACAAAAATGTAGTTCCTTCCTAAATATTTTGTAATTGTTTGTAGATGTTTTTCAGTTTTTATTTTTTATCTTTAAGTACTTCATAACAAACAGAACTACATCAAGTAAATTGTGGTTTCTAGGCAGAATAGCTGGTTTTGGGTGTAGAAACAATTATTTTCAAAGATAATGGTTAAAATCAGGATTCATTGAAACTCCGTGATTTAGGAAGAGTTTACAACACATGGGAATTACAGATAACATATGTTAGCTTTCTGGAGTGTTTCCTCAAAATACTAAAATAACTTCTAACTGCTTCATTTGTGATTCAGTTATTCAATTGAAACTGTCTTCCAGAACACCTCGACCTGTTGTTGTAGAACCAATGGAGCAATTTGATGATGAAGATGGGCTCCCAGAGAAGTTGATGCAAAAAACACAACAGTATCACAAGTACATTGTGTTTATCATTATTTTATAAAACATGATTTATGTGGTTTGGCTTAGTTAGCTAATTTTTATTTTTGAATTGTATCGCAGGAAGTAGTGTTTTGTATGTTGTGCTGTTTTGTGTCAAAGGATTAAATAGGACCTTGCCAAGATTTCCTGATCATAGTAAAATTCAGGCTTGTTGGTTTAACATTCTGAGCATTGACTAAAGCACATGGATTCCTGGCCTACACTGTAATCAGTTGCAGCTTGTGAGCCAAATTGTAGTCTTTTATGGATTAGCTGTGTGGTCTAATCCTGCAGAGATTTGTATACCAACAGATTTTTTTTTTTTGTTCTCAGAATAGCCCCTTAACTGTTTGTAAAATTAGTGGGGTGTAATTCTTTGCAGCTTCCACGGTTCACACGAAACTTTGAGCATGACATGAAAAAATGAGTCTTGATCGTGAAGTGGAAGTCACCTAATGAATAATGCTAATTTTCAGTATTGAAATTTGATTGCCGTTTAGATGATGTTGCTTGAGGGTAAAATGTTTATTCTGGTAAGGCTGTGGAATACCACTTAAAATGTGTCACTGTTAGTTACAATATTAGTGTTAGAATGTGAAATAAAATGCTGGTACCTTTTAATATTTAGAGATTCTGGCAATATTCTGAACTGTCTAGTAAGCTTTGATACTTAAAAGCTGGTTTTATGAATTGACTGCGTGCTTTAGAAGGCTGAACACAGTTAATCTAGTGTTGCAGCTTAGTATTTTGTACTGATGTAAATATGAATTTTTATCTTAAAATTATATAAATCAAACAGCTTTATGGGACAATTTTGCTGATCATATTACTTGTCTTAACAGCTGAATTAAGCTTTGACTGGTTTAGAATGTAGTCATCTGACAGGCTGATTTAAAGTCAGATCTATACTTGAAGCGATTGTTTATAAATTCCTTGGCTGTTGCAGCTGTTGATCTAAATGTGTCCTTCTGTACATTTTAACTGCAA